TGCAGACTCTCTGCACGGAGGAGCCGCAGCGAAGCAGCGGAGTCCGGAGCAGACACATGTTCTCTAAGCCGAAAAACGATATCCGGTCACAGAGATCTGCTATTTTAAAGTAAAGTCAACACATATCGACCCTAAATATAGTCTATATTAAGAACGAGAAAAGTTTTAACATATATATAGTTTTTTGCGAACATATGACAAATGTGCGAGGGTGATGACGTCAGAGCATCGTCCTATGTGCCAGGGCTGAGCCCCGGACAGCCCCGGCCCAATTTAACCCCTGATTATGAGTGCACTGTCTGGGTGATGGGTAATTACGCAAGTGACCTTACCTAATTATGGAAGTTACATAACAAATAGATCAACTTTGAATTGTGGTTTTACATGGGACACAAAGAGCAGTCTTCAATCTAACCCTAACCCTAACCTTAACACATGCACAAATGCCCATACATAACAGGAGGTAGAAGGAACTCGAGGTATGCTCTCTCCTGCTATCTCTTGCACACATATTTTGTATACATGCCCGGCAGTTACAAAATCACTGATTACAGCTTGCACACTGTGGTCTTGTTGCTTGTAGGAATATGCTAAAGTTATGACTTTAATTAGTTTGTTTGAGGAGAACTGAGTAATTAAAACATACTTTACCAGTAATCACGGAAAACAACAATATAAATTAAGCAATTAGGGTTGGATTAATGAATATACCTGTTGACAGTTTGGCAATGCGGTGCCAAAGGAGCATACCTGTCAATGTCCTAGGAAAACCTTTTTTTTCTTAAGCTTAACAGATGGGAGAAACCGGTGAATTTAAAACAACATTTCGATTTCAGAAGTTATGGCGCTTTTCCACTGCAGGGCCTCGCTCGGCTTAGTACGGTATGGCTAGGCCTCGTTAGGCCTTGTTAGGCCAGGCTCACTTTATGCTGCGTTTCCATTACAGTTTAGGAACTGGGGTAGTAACTATAGTAACGCAGTGTATGCGGAGCCATGACGTCATCTTCAATGCGAAACACAAAACCAACATCAGCCGTTAGCTGTTAGCCCTCAGAGCTCACAGCTCCTCATATCTGTTCAGAAACTAGACAAAAGTTAAACAAGTACAAACCACAGACTGTCTGTGTCATGGCGAATACAGTCGCTGGCTTATTTATGTCTGTATAGGCCGTTGTTGTGAGTGTGGACGGTCGGAGCATATACCGCGTTAGCTTAGCCGATCTCCATTCAGAAAACACGCATTTTAAAAGGTTTTTCACCTGCCGTCTGTCTGCAGACTTGTCAAAGCATTAATTCATGGTTTTTACTAACCGGTATCAGTATGTTGTTACTTCGGCATCATTTTGAAACGTGTATTACAATTAAATCACGGTAAAATATGTTCATTTTGTTGTAGTTGACAGCGATTCTCTCACTAGTTTAGCATACTCAGCCCGGTTGTTGGCCCGGAAAGAACCTCGATTTTGGAGAGCCAGAAAACTGTGAAAAAGTACCCGCTAGCCGGAACTACGCCTAGTGGAAACGCAACCAAAAACGGGCCGGGCACGGCACGCTTAAACCGCGCTCCGCGCTGTAGTGGAAATGCGCCATTAGAGGGAATTGCATGTGTTTGACAAGCCATTTCGCTATTCACGGTAAAGACGCACATGTCACAACTTGTTATTTACAAGCATAGCGAGTGTCCATTTAGGCATCATTGCATAACAACCTGACCCTGACCTTGAAAAACATTAAAATGTGTTTTACATGTGATTCAGACCTGCTAGTTCGTGCTAAGGGATCATAACATAATAAATCTCCTTCACCAGCATAATGTTGTTTCAGCTCAAATCTGCAGTAACTTTGGGACCTGCTCTCTATCAAAATAACAGCCACTGTTCAAATAAACTCAACACACAAGTTTGGGCCTGGTGTTCCTTCCACTGGCAGGAGCTATTCTCATGAAGATTAATGTTTTTTTCTTCTTCTATCGAGTAATCTGATATTAAACAAGTATTTGTCATGGATTATCATTTCTGTCCAGGTTTTGGAATAGTCAAATGATCATTTGGCATTTGTTTCTTTCCTTGCAAGATGAAATCATTAATGCAGAAAAAAAGATAAGGGTTTCTTTCTGATTCAAAGTTTATTAAAGTGCCCCATTATGCTTTTGGGGGTTTTCCATTTCCTGCAGTGTGTTATATAGCTTTTTGTACATGTTAAGGGTTTGTTTACTTCCGTAACATGGTGACATCACTACGTAACAATACAGGTTTTATTGGCTAGTGCTTCAACACATTAAACGTGATAGTCCAAGGGGCGGGACATCTCTAAGCAGTTGAGCAATCAAAGCAGACTTGGCTCTGGTTTCAGACAGAGGGTGAAAAGAGGTGCTGCAGCACATGCAGTGTGAGAAAAATAAATAACTTTTTGAACATAAATAAGCAAATAAACATGTCACAGTAGAGGAACAAAATACAAATATGAAAACTGAAAATGAGCATAATCTGTCCTCTTTAAAAGGTTGGGTGAACCTTGATTTTTCAGCCCTTCAAGTGTGTATCTCAGCAGGTTTCTCAACCTTGACCTAAGGTCGTTTTCAACACATTATACAGGCGCACATACACACACCCTATCACTTAAATGCATGAGTCTGCGAAAAGAAACACACATGCTTGCATAAACAAACACTCACGCAATAGTGTTGTCACCCACGAGAACATATCCACACATAAACTATTCATGCACATAGAGAGGGAGATGAAGAGCATGTTCACTTAAATCAATGCACTAAAAGATGCACTATGCATGCTAAAGTCAACATACAGATGATGCAGCAGGGAGGAGAGAGGAGTGGTGGGAGCGCCCGGCGAAGCTTTCTTTTTTCTCCTTGAAAGCAAGCAGTGTGTTTGGATATGAATAGAACCGCATGACTCTGAAATAGCACCTTTTTACTGCACATCTGTTGACTTTGAAAGTGTATCTCTTGCATTCTTACACTTGACTTGGTGACTTCATCACTTCCCTCCGGGCACAGAATATATAAGTGAGTCAGGACGCTCAACAGGATTTCTCTCTGCACGCAAGCAGCAACTGGTAAGGGAGGGTCTACACTCGACCACAGACTTGTGGTCTTATCTGGTCTGAGTATATCTAGAGGTTCCTAACAAAACATTCAGACTATGTGCATTCAAAAGTAATCACTGTACTCACTGTTATTACAATATGGAGGCCAAGTGCTCCAATGAAAGCTTTTGCACACTTCCTTCACATCGGATTTACATTGAATTGCATATTTGTCTGTCATTAGAAACACTTCTTACTAGACTAAATCCTCCAACTGTTTACATTATACCCCAGTATGTCCTCCAAAATAAAAGGTCAAGCCATTAACCTATGTTGAATAAAGGATCTGTTTTCCTCCCTTGACATTTTCTTTGTATCCAAATTGTATTAAAATACAAAATCAGCTATCTATTGTATTCTGTTGCTTTTGAGGACCATTCAGCATTCTTAAAAAAGCCAAAACGAGATTACCCTGATTATGTCATTGGGTTTTTCTTGTTTTGTGTTGAGTTTGAGATATATGAGAATTGATCTAGCTCAGAGAAGCTAAAACAACACTGTTGGATTATATTACTAAAATGTAGGATACATTGTTGTTGAGGCTTGAGTCATTGATAACTTCTGGGTCTTGTTCTAGAAGTTAGAAAACCTCATTCAAAATTAATTTCCAGTTTGTTACTAACAACTGAAATAATCCAGCCCTGAACCTTTCTCCACAGTATTCTGCGTAGCTGGCTTCATACATCAATAAGGATGATCGAATGTTGTTGTTTAATTCGATATCAACTTCACAGCTTGACAGGAATGGCGAGTCCATGACCATTTATAAGAGTAGCGGCTAGCTCAGACGTGTCCTCTATGAACAGAGATGAATGAAGGTTGTAGAAGTTGGTACACATTAGGGATTACAACTAGAATGTTGAATCACTTACCTTAAAAGGGTGTTGGTGAGAAACGGAAGAGAAAAAGTCACCAACTTGACAATACATGCGCAGCATTTAGAAAACATTCACCAACTTGACGAAAAGACGACCGGAGCGCTTGTTGATGTTCGGGGATTATAAAGTTGGGCAAATGTCACTCTCGCAGAGTTAGTCAGTTTCATAATTGAAATGGCTAGGTTACCTACGTTAGCTAGCTAGCTTACAGCAGATCTGCAGTAATATCCGAAGGAATCATGTGATCACATTGTTAAAATAAGCCAGTAAAAACTACTTTTTCGAGGTTTGTTTCCAGTGACAGTGAGAGTTGGCAAACTTTAAAAATCCCCAAACGTTAACAAGCATTTGCTCCCAGCTGTGTGCATCACTTGTTATTGTCCCTCTTTCTGTTGTGTTTTGAGCTTTGAGCCTTTTTTTATTTTGCAGCGTTTCTTTCATGCAGCGCTTTTAGTAAACGCTTCTCGTGTTTTGTTGAGTTGGTAAATGTTTTTTTAAATGCTGCGCATGTATTGGTGAAGCTGTTTCTTCATTTTCCTTTGATTTGGGCCAATTGTGTTTTATATTTTCAACGTTTTCCGAAAAGTGCAGCGCGTTTCTCCAAATGTGCATGTATTTTTTTTGTGCTGTTGTAGCACAGTTCACCCACAAACAAGTGGCCCTTCAAAGGCTTCATAAACAACAACACAGTACATTTTCAAAAATATCCAATGCTACACCATTCCATACCTGTATCTAATGCAGCACGTTGGTTCTTTACGACAATCTTGCCTGCTTCCTTTGCAGCTAAAGTGCTTAGTAATAAACAGCTGATATAAGGAAGCTGTTATATTTTTACCTCGATAAAGGAATGATATTTAATCCAATTCAGATGGAAACTTGAAGAGAAACCTTTGAAGTAACCCTTACATTCTGTAGCATATACTAAATAAGGGGTTAATCATCATTAGTATGATGACGGCAGCTGATTCGTGACAAAATAAACACAAAACGGTTCTCTTACCAAATACACTGCTCTCGTGTATTTTATTATTCATCACATTAAAGCCCCTCTCAATATTATGGTCTTTCTTTATTGTCTTACAAATATTAAGTTATCCACAAAAATAAAATAACTTAGATAATAGCGATATTAAAACATAAAAACACATACATACATACATTACACTTATGACATGAAAAAAATGCATATTGCTGATGTCTCCCAGAGTTTTCCTGGACACAGTTCTGTATGTGCAAACTACTCGTCAAAATCAAAATAACACTGGAAACACAATTCCAGATTTTCTTTTTTTTACCCATCTGCTTTCAACACAGAAACACATTTGCTTGAAATAAATTACACTGCCTGATAAGGAGCCTCACTCAAATACATATCATAGAGACATTCATATCAACTTTGCTTTAAATGTACTTTAAAATGAACTTGATAGTATCCATATTAGCACACATGGAAGAAGTGTGGAGAAAGTGAGTGTGGATATATCACAAGAAGCTTACAGTGTTGCACGCGCTAAATTGCATCACAAAACCGGAAACACTGATTGATGGCAGCTCAGGATGTTTATAGTGTTAGTAACCAAAGCCTGTTCACGTGCTCTCAGTTTCCCGAGGCCCTTTACATTTATTGATGGTATTTGTGCAACATTATTCAATTGTATTTACATTTATATCATGCTAAAAATGAAGGTCTATTGTGCACTGTGTACTCTGACAGTCCTCTTACACACCACACACAACACATGGAACTTTTTGGACAATCTGTGCTCTGATTTAGGGTGGCTAACCTTAGCGTGTATAGGGTTAGTGCTCTATTGTAGCTGATTTGTAGTCTTTTGGTTGACTTTAGCTTCATCGTTGATGTAATTTGCTCCTTTTACTCATATAGTCCAGTCCTTTTTGGGATTCATGTGAACGTATTGTGGGGTGCTATCACCATTTGCAGGGTTACACATTATGCGTACAACATACTAAAATTGACATTTACATTAACATGTCAGTGAAGCAACACAGTCCCCTGCTGTTATTTTAGGTGAAAATGTGATAGTTGGTATGAACATTGAAACTTCTGAACTGCCCTTGAACAAGGCACTAAATCCTTAAGTGCTCTGGGTGTTGTGTGCTGTGTCAAATCCTGTGAATGTGAATCCTGATGTGGGAAAAGGTCTTTATTTGTCTCAGACCTTCCATACTGCTGGTGCTATGAAGCAATACTATTTTCTTTTTTGCATGCAATCTACTGCTTTCTCTCAACTTCCTGTTTGCACACCTGGATCTCATGCAGCTGTATGTCAATCATTATCAGCCCAGATTTCTTAGCTTTCAGATAACTATCTGATACAACTAAGTTCCTTTGTCTCAAAAGGAAGTCAGTGAACATCCGAACTCTCTGAGTTGTGGCAGCTTTAGACATATTTTGCATGTGCACGCTCTTTACCAACATGCGCATCTATCTTTCTGCTGGATCTACTGCTTAACACACTGTCCTCCCGCTTCTGGAAAACAGCAGTCCATCGCAAAAAGGTATGGGGCAAATATATAACAGTCTTACTCCCCTTTGAAATGAATATCCTTGGTTTTAAAAAAGTCTATTTTTCTTTGTTTTCTTTATTGTGTACAGTCTTTTAGTGTGTGTTTCTTCATTTACAGACACTGACCCATTCTGTTATCCTGCACTCTTCGCACACCACATAGCAGCACCAGTGAAACTTGCAGTTGCAGCGTTCGCTCCGCGTCTGCTGCAGGATGTTGTGGCCTCTCCCGCAGCACAGACTCTCACAGTTGTCCATGCCGGGGCTGGTCTTGTTGCAGATCCGGCCCTGCGTGCCCGCCGAGTCCGAACCCAGGTCCCTCTCGCAGAAATCTGGCGACTTTTCAAAGTAGACCAGTTCGTTGACGTTCGGCCTCCGCCGGTGATGGTGGTTGTGGTGGTTGTTCTGATGATGGTGATGGTGATGGTGGTGGTGGTTGTGATGGTTATGGTGACTGTGGTGGTTGTTGTTGTTGTGGTTGGAGTGGTCCAGTTGTCCGGTGTTTCGGTTGTGAGCTTTGATGAGGGTGGCGAGGTTGAAGCGCTCTTTGAGGATGGAGCCCACCACCCGGAACTCCGGGGTGACCTGCCAGCAGGTCTTCAGCTGACAGCTTCCCGACGTCCCGTGGCACTTGCATTTCCTTCTCATGTGGTCAAGCACCACCTGGGAAAAGACAGATGGAGACAGACACAAAGAGAGAGTGGGATGGAGGGAGGAAGTGAGAGGAGGTGGAGAGGGAGGTGGGGAGGAAGAAATTGAGAAGGATTAATTACTTTCTTGATTACTGGCTACATTTTAATTTGAATGTACACAGGTACAGGCTGCACGTCATATTGCAAAATAGATTTTTTTGGAAACAAAAGGTGTTTGTTATTTCTTATAAGTAGATCACTATTCCACCGTATAGTGTGTGACACATAGTGCCCTGAAGGAATATTTGTCCCGCATTCAACAAGCCAGGTGGTCTGACTCTGAGCCTGTTGTCAAACATACTGATATCAAATAACTCATACGGATGCAGGCATTACCCAAACAGACAGTAAAGTCATTATTCATAATTTGGCTGTAATGACTCCAAGCAGGACACACATACATGTAGCTGCACATTGGATAATTATATCTAATAGTTTAATGTTGGCCAATGGAATTATTTAAATCTTTTAAAAGGTTTTTAAGCACTGAAATAATGTTTCTGATGTCTGTGGAATATATACATGCACAAACAAGAATAAACACAAATGAGAGATTCGCAATTGTATAATTACGTTAGAGCATGACACCGCAACACTGGAAGACCTACCCACCTATTTCAGAAGCACACACACACAAACACACACACATACACACCAGATAAGTATATCCCACACGGCATAAATATTGTCCATCCCAATGATATTCCCTGGAGGCTATGTGCATGTATCCAAGTGTGTGTGCGTGCTTAAATCAGTCATCACCTGCTCTAAACTTTAAGATCCAATTACCCAACAGGAACACCAGGCCACCCACCGTACTGACAGATGCTGCTGCTCTTGCCGCCCCTATCAACACACACATACACACACACATGCTGGACACTTGCACAGTTCAACACATTCCACACATTTGCTAGCAATAATGCTAATCTCAACACATACCCGCCGACACAAAACATGGCTGTCACCCACAACCCACTTAAGTGTCTTCCATAGAGATTAAGGCATGGCGAAAAACTAATTTAAAAAGACAAGTCGAGGAATTTATTGTTTGTGTTTGCTTCGCTTTAAAACATAAACATCTCCCAAGTAGAGCATCATATAGATAATTGTACTTTTTCAAGGGGCCCTGTCATGCTCATTTTCAAAGTCGAATTTGTATTTTGTGCCTCTTCTGTGTCGTGATAACATACTGCCTGTGCTGCAGCACCTCTTTTCATCCTCTCCAACCCCTTCACCTTCAGCCCAGTCTACCCTGATTGGTTAAATGGCCGGATATGTTGTGATTGGTCAACTGCTTAGAGATGTCCTGCCCCTTAGGCTAATGCTAGCCAATAGAAGTGCAAGTGTTATATAGTGATGTCATTATGTTACGAAAAGTATACATGCCCAAAAATCAGATATACATCAATTGATGTTTCCTTTGTTGGATTAGGGTTAGGGTTGGGGTTATGTCAGAGGGAGCTGAAACAAGTTTTTGATGACTTGGTTTGCATGCTGTAAGGCTTCATTCAGTGTACTGCAGGGTCCCAATTAAGCTATGTAAAGAGGAGAAAAGGGGAAAAGGGTTGCTGCAGTTTTAAATTATTTGAATGGTGTATTACGACAACTACACAAGTAACACAAAATCTTTTCAGTCTTTTCATCATTGTATGTTTTGTTCACTTCAGAAAGTGAGTAAGAAGTATGCATTTTGGATAAACACGGCTCTACTGTTAATTAGAGTGTTGAAAACAAGGTTTAAAGAAGCTGTGATCTGGTGAGGAGAGCCTGTAAGACTTTGTAGTAAACAACATTATAATAGCTCAAACAGCACTTGCACTGAGTTCAGATTGCAGCGTTTGGTTCAGTTTTTACATCAGGGGAAAGGCAACCCCAGAATCACAAACGTGCTGGCCTTAAACACACAGCAAAGTCTGTAATCATAAAACTCTCCAACCCACTTAAACCTTAAAGGGACAAACTGACCCAGGAGTCATAATTGCATCCACATTGCTTCTGTTTGAAGGTATATTCACAGCAGGATAGGGGTTTCAAAGGACGGTTAAACAACAAAAACGCAGAAAAGTGTTATTTCTAATGACATTTTGTCATATTTCTTAGGGAGGGGATAGGGGGGTAAAAAGCCAAATAGTTCTTGCAGCATGAATCATCAATTCTGAGTCAGAAATAGGATAGGTTTTTTCCAACTATAATCGTGATGTTTAAAATAGTACAGCATGTCTTGACCATTCACAACACCCCTACGCCTAAAGGTCCTTACACACCAAGCCGATTTTCGGCGTCGATAGATGTCTGGCCGCCGATGAGCGTCCTGTCGCCCTACTCAGATTGGTGTGTCCCGCCCCGTCGTGTCTTTTCAGCCGTGCCGACACCTTCCGCCGCCGATTCAGAAATCACTCTGATTGGCTGTTCAGCTTAGCGAATCAGTGCATGAGAAGCAAAACGGAAGTGAGGAACCCAAACAACTATTGATAAGGCAAATCTGAGATTTCATTTAACTCCAGCTCTCGACACAGGTTCGGGAAAGCCCCACGAGCTTCTCGCTGTAGAGTGAAAATGGAACGCACACGCTATTTAATGTTTGTTTATATCACGCAGTCTGTTCTTCTTCTCTCGGTGTATCACGCAGACTGTCTTCCGGTTGTTGCCTCTTTTGAATGACGAATACACACTACCGCCGCCTGCTGGTAAGGAGAGTTATTGCCACTCACGCATGCGCAGTGCGTACGTGCTACTTGGCCGTCGGCTGAAGTCTTTGCGGTGTGTTCCAGTGCGACTGTTGGCCAAGACGCAGGAGACGTGAGGCGACACAACAGTCGGGTCCGCGGGGCGTGTTCTTTGGTGTCAGATGGTTGTGTAAGGACCTTAACAGTGATTGACCATCTAGGCATCCATAACTTTGTAATTATCCTATTTCTATTTGTTCTGTCAGACAAAGCCATTTAGGGTTAGGATCAGGGTGTTCACAACATGTTACTTAGTTAAAGTCCAACTTGTTACCATTGGCAAGGCCAGCAATGGTTTGATTGCACCCTTCATTACATAAACTCAAATAAAATGGTAAAAACCATGTTATTTTTTAACCCATATAGGTTAACAATGTATAGAAACTACATTGTGATTTTGGCCAAGGAGCGCATTATTATCTTAATAAATTAAGTGGAACTGCATGTTGTAATAAAAAAGTGTGTCACTATAAATGGATAACTCAGACAAAGTCGGTCAGGTTTACAAAATGGAACTCAGCAAAGGTTTTTTGCAGATCAACATTTTTATGCTAACAAAGTAGAACAATTTGTCATAGTTTATATTCAATTTGGGATGGTTGAATGGTGTTTCGGGACAGTTTGTTGACTGTTCTGGGACGATGGTGAAATCTTAATATGAAGCCATTCCCAAAAGTCAGACACACCTGGTGGAGATCTGCCCTCTACTGAGTGCACTTTCAAAATAGAGATATATTTTACATCAAAGGAATAGCATATGTCAGTTCTGTTTCAGGGTGGATTTATCCTCATGCTGCACACCCTGTGCTCTGACTGCGCAGAGCTTAATAAAAGTTTTGAAGGCTTCCTAAAACCTCAACAAAAGAACATCACTCCGGGTGACAAGAACGTGTGCGGTGGGAAAATGTCAAATAGTCTTTTCACGTGCAGCCAAAAGGCAAAGAGGTACAATCCAAACGGGAAATATTGAATTTGAATATTGCATGTCTGCTCATGCTATATTAAAAGTTGTCTATGGGGAGTGCTGATCCATCTGACAAAAGAGAACACTGGGGAAGCACGAGTACATTTTGTACGAGAGGAGAAAAGGAACAAAACAGAAGACCAAGTTTCACCTTATCTAAAGAAAATGCTACATTACATTTTTCATTTGTTTTTAAAGTATCTGGCCAAGTAAAGGAGGAATATATTTACCAGTTTAGGTGCAGGCAATGTGTTTTCTTCCAATAACTAGGAAACAAGCTAGACAATGAGCTTGTTGACTTTTCCAAGTCAGTGTGGATTTAGGGTTGGAAGACGAAAGACGGGAATACTATTTTCTTAGTCTTTACTGATGAACTACATATCACCCCCTGGTTATTGATGATCAGATGATAGGTTTATATTGTGTGTTTTTTTCCTGTTTCTTCTCATCAATACCTATGGCTATGTTGGGTGTCTGTGTCTGTGTCTGTGTTTATGATATTTAACTTGGCTACTACACTAAATTGATGCAGGGATTTATTCTTGCCTTGTTGTAATTAGCCCTGAGGTTGGTGGAGGAGGGGCAGGGTGATGGAGGTAAAGAGGGGTGTACTGTAAATGTGCAGGTTAAGGGGGGGAGGGAAGGAGATAGGAAGGGTGACAGTAGGGGGAGATGATCTTTAGATTATCTCTTTCCCGCCCTACATCTTGATGTGTGTGTGTGTGTGTGTGTGTGTGTGTGTGTGTGTGTGTGTGTGTGTGTGTGTGTGTGTGTGTGTGTGTGTGTGTGTGTGTGTGTGTGTGTGCTGACATTGTTTTGAGGCTCATTCATCATGTATTGCTGCTATCAGTTGTAGATTAGATTGTGATCAGCAATCCAATCTAACCTGTCAACAGCTGTGATTATTTTGACAATGTTCAAATATTGTACACCTAACACAGCTTTAGTCACTGTATTTAAGCTATCAAAAGCTTGTTTGGAATGTGTTACACATTAACTGTTATCTGGTGCATGTGACCAGTGATGGCCTGAAGTCTGGATTTGAGAAAAATACAATAGGATACCATGTTAAACAAAGAAAAGAGCTCCCGTTACATAGAAAACGGCGGCTGCCAAATGTCAACGAACTGGTCTATTATTATAATAGATGAGAGACTAATAAAAAGTAGAAGATTACTGGATAGGGCAAACTTTCCAAAAATAATTTGGATTACGCCAAATTGTAATGGTTTCTTACATGGCCCGCGATACAACCTTCCATTAGGTTTCATAAACATC